CCTGCTGGAGTGTATTGAGAGTATATTTTTTGTCTACCACTGTGAATGAGGATAACATTCCTGAGGAGGAATTCTTGAGACAGGAAAAGTCTTCATGCTAGTAATGTATTTTCTTCCAAGGTCAAGAGTTTAACACTTATGTATAGCCAGAAGGTAAATCAGCAGTCTAGCCTCACATTCTTTAGTTGACAAAATATGAAACTTGCACATTTCTCAGGATATGAGACTCTCCATAACAATAAAGACACTCAGTGTGCCTGCCCAGAGACCATCTCTCCAGTGTCCCAGGAGAAAGGCATCTAATGAGTGAACAATTAGAGGAAGTCACATTGTTACAGAAGAAGTCTGGTCCTTGCAAGCTGTAGAATCCCATATGGAGATGCTGTGTGATACGAATCGAAGAGTCTGGACTCACTGAAAAGTAATGGCAGCTGGAACAGAAGAACAAAAAGACAGGAGGGAAAAAACGAAGTGGGGGATAGGGCAGAAAAGATGTAGTGAAACGAAGTTTTTCATATATGGCTGTAGGTTTAGCACACAGTCTGGACCAACCTGGTGAAGCCTGTTTCTAAGCCAAAAAACTTAAGAGAAACCAAGCAGCAGGCAATATAGTGTCATTAACATGCTCAACATGAATGAAGGAATAAACGCTCTGTGGATATAGAAAGCATTTCTTCAAGATGAAGGGACTGAGGTTCACTCACCTGGGCACAAGGATGAGTGCTCAAAGTAGAAGTGATATTTAGTTGCCAACAAAAGGCATTGACCACCTTTTCTGCAACTTTCCACCACCTTCCCTATATCCATCTTTAGGGACAACAGTGTTGTCAGTAAAGGCACGGATTCCTCCCTCATCTATTTACAAATTACTTATCTGCCAGCCTCCCTCCTAGTTTCTCAATGGGAAGTGAAAGTTGACACCCTGCTACCACACTGGTGCACAGATGCAGCAGTTGCTTCCCTTTTCCCATCAGGCCTTTCATTTGGGTTACAGAAAGATAAACTTCAGAAAAATCCTGGGAAATAGAAAAAGATCATGAAATAGAAAAGTAAGAAGAGGAAGACCAAAATGTTCATTGATATTATGATATTCAAAGGATAAAATAGTGCACAAAGGCCTCAACTACATCTTGTTTGAATCAGAGAAAGGCGAGAGGCATCCATCCCTAAAATCCTATCAGCTTCATGATGCATCAGCAAATGATTACTGGTGGTAAACATGACGGGAGAGAACTTCCCCCAAAGTGAAGAAAGATTTCATAAAGGAGCAAACACAAAGTATGGGAAACAATGGAGATGAGGAGGAAGAGATGATGAAAATGCGGGGGGAAAATGGCATAGTGAGGGATGATAATGTGAAAGTGATATGTAGGGAAAAAAGAGATCAGATAATGGGGGGGAGGGAATAGGATAAATCACTTGAATTAGGAAAGAGGGTAGGCAAGAGTGGGAAAGAAAAGAACTAAGAAACTGAATTTTTAAAAGCAGTAACAAAATAACAGGCTGGTATTTTCTGACAGAATGAACACATATGGCACACTTTTTATTTATATATTATCTTCTGCTTCAAAAGGCGCATGGAGAAGATGCTCAGTAATTCTCCACCTATGGCAAGCTCATAATTTGTCAGGATTATCCGTGGAAGACAAAACAGAACAGAAAGTTTTGAATATGCACACTACCATCTGTTTAAGGGCTGTATCCACAACAACTACAAACCAAGACAAAAATAAGTCACCATGTAACCACACTCCCCTGAGAAACTAGCAACATGAGACATTTTTTCAGTTTCTAACAACATACTTGGACACAGTAACACTGAACATCTGAGGGTTAAAAAGAGGCATTTCAAGTAATGAAGTTGGTGGTTTATGTTCAAATTCTACCACAAGCTCCTTGAAGAGAAGGCTGTGTGGAGACCTCACAGCAGCCTTACAGTATCTGAAGGGAGGCTATAGGGATGCTGGGGAGGGACTCTTCATTAGAGACTGTACTGACAGGACAAGGGGTAACGGGTTCAAACTTAAACAGGGGAAGTTTAGATTGGATATAAGGAGGAAATTCTTTCCTGTGAGGGTGGTGAGGCACTGGAATGGGTTGCTTAGGGAGGTTGTGAATGCTCCATCCCTGGCAGTGTTCAAGGCCAGGCTGGACGAAGCCTTGGGTGAGATGGTTTAGTGTGAGGTGTCCCTGTCCATGGCAGGGGGGTTGGAACTAGATGATCTTAAGGTCCTTTCCAACCCTAAGTATTCTATGATTCTATGACAACCCAGCACTCACACACACAGCTCAGTGCTTCAGGCTCCTTCAGACCAGACCAGAACATTTCAGCTACACAAAGACTGGGAAAGGTAAAACTCAAAGCGTTGCCAGCAAAGATGTTCTGCGGTAGTTGGTTTTTTTTTGTCTTTTGGGTTTTTTTCTTGTAGGAAACATCCAAAGTGAATTGTGGTTTGGATAAAAAAGCTTAGTGAACAGCAAGAAAAAGAAAAAAAAAAGAAAAGAAAAAAACCCCATAAAATCATTTGCATTGCAGTATCTTGGAGGTACAGTAAAACCCTATGAGAAACATTTCCCTCTTGTTTCTTTCTGTGCTTCCCTCACCCCTCCCCTTTAATTTTTTTCCTTTTCATTTTTTAAAATGTTTACTCATTTTGTGTTGGCTTGTGTAACTTGTCAGGCTCACATTCTTCAGATTTTCTTGCACAGACTTGAAGAAAAAGCTTGCTACATAAAGCATCCCTTTAAGAAAGAGGCCTCCTTATGACTAGAACAGAGTTTGCCACACTGTACTTACAAAAGAGCGCCATTAAAACCATGTATCATATTCTTGTGTTCTCCTTCCTTAATGCTACCAAATACACACAGAAACTGCACTGTCTTTCCTCAAATGAACTTGAGTAAGAGGAACAGGCAGAGCACCTTCTCAAGGGACAGCTAAACAAAACTGTTGCACTAGGGCATGCAGAGGGAAGTTAAAAGTTCACTTCATTCACCAAACAAAATGGATAGCAGGAAAGAAAATGTTAATTTAGCTCACCTCTACAGCACAGTGGGACTCCAGAAATCTGCTCACCATTCTCCCAGAATAAAATTCAAAGCCACATTTGCTGACTTTTATTATTTCCCATTTCACAAAAAGAACTCCCTAACAAACTGATCTGCATTTTTATCAGGTTCACTCCCACAGGTAAAACTATAATCTAAATTCCATCTGTAAGGCGATCTGTTCAACTCCACTGTCTTCAAATTACACCTTTTAAGACTGAAAAGTCCTAGAAATATTTTATTTGCTTAAGTACAGCAACCCCAAAAAATTATTTTTTTGTAAATGTAATTTTGAGATGGAAATTGTCTGCTTTTCATTTTTACTGCTACATCTCAACACTTGTGAATTATGCTTTTTTGTGATTTAGTTGATGGCCAGTAAATTACATGAGTGAGTCACTGAAAAAAAAGGCCGGACAAAAGTCTTTGTGACACATCTTTTCTGAGGAGCCTCTCTGGAACATTCATACATTGATCCCATCGCCTTCCAAACACTGGTTTCAGAGATGAGCACTATCTGTTAACTACATGCTGCTCTCAAAGGCCAAACTTGAAAGTGTTTCAGCAACTTGTAAAGGGAAGCATCTTACTGATACTCATATAATGTTCATTTACTTTGCTTAAACCCCTCCACCTCTAAGAACTTTATTTGAAGGCAAATATGAAAAAGTATTTTCCACTTTCATTGCTCCTAGCCTAAGAAAAGGAAGAGAAAAAAATGTCACCAACTCCTCTTTTATCATTTACTGTTCTGAACTTATTTACTGCTTTTTGCAATTAAAGGTATATTATAAAGATTGTCCTTCATAACTGGAAATGGCTTCTTCTTCCTAACTGAAGAAACCTGACTGCAGTCCTTCCAGCAGCTTGTAGCCCAAGAGTTCAAGTATTAAGTAATTTCTAGTTCAACTTTTATGTTAAAACTCATTAACATTCTAATGGGAACAGAGAGAAGTAGATTACGATCTTTCCACCTGAGGAACAATTTCATCAGTCTTAAAGGTTAAAAAAATCATGGAAAACGGAATTATGTTATCAGGGACTGGAAACAAAGATCCATACTCCAGTTGCTGTCTTTATGCCATCACACCTCTAATTCTGGCAACAATAACTGTTAACATAGCTATACCTACTTGCACTACAGTACCTTGAACACAACAAGAACCTGTGCATCAGGACAGAGCTGCATTTCAGGCAGAGAAAACTCAGTAAAGACCTCAAACTGCTATGCTGTAATTAAATTATGAGCAATATATGTTCACATAAAGCTATGCAAGGCCTACGTTGTCTGCTAGGTTTGATAAAGTAGTAATACATTTAAGACACAGGAGAAAGTAACTTGAGACACCTTGTTTTACTGCAAAGTATGTGAATATCTGCATTTGCTGGTTTGACTAAACCGGAGAAAATAAAAGGCTCTGCTGTTCTATTCAATAAGGAAATAAACCAAGAGTATTAAAAGTGGCGAAGTCAAAACAAACAGAAAGTCGGTTGACCTTTGTAGGAAAGCTACAGAATTTAATTTCTGCATCTGCTTAAAAAACAAGCCTTGATCAAAGTACATCTGCAAACAGAAGAGTTTTGTAGACAATTTTCAACCTCTCTGACATGGTTACTAACAATACAAATATTCAGAAGAGTCAGAAGCATTTTGATTTCCTAACTTTCCCCAATGGCTCTTACTAAAGACTACTGAAAGGCAATCACTTTACCCTTCAGCCTCTTTTTTGGTGAAAGAATGCCAGAAGTACTGTTATCCTCACAGGATTGTCTAACATTCTGCTTACATCTTGTGAAGCAGTTTTAACATACACATATACAATGACTATTAGCAGTACAACAGTGTATGACCGACTGATGGAGGAGAATAAAGAAATACATTCTTTTTAAGAAACAGGAACCACAAAAGATACATGAACCAAAAATGCATTTTTCTGATAACTTAGTACAATCCTTACAGAACATGTATCAATACCTGCTGCTGCCTTTGCCTCCTCATTTGGGCAACTTGAGACATCATGATTTGACGATCCAGTAACTCCATTCTCTGCTGCCTCTGGATGTCAACTGTTGCTCCCATTCCCACACGAACTTCATTTGTTGGTTCCGCAGATGAGAAGATTGGTTCAAGAGTCCAAGAAAATATCTTTGCTACCCAGCTGGGCACACAAAGAATTCTATGAACTTTTAATACACTACTATTGTAACAAATCCCAGAAACCTAAAATGAAAAATGAAATGTTAAAAAAAAAAAAACAAAATCAAAACAACAACAACAAGAAAAAAAACCATCACAAAACCAAAAAGCTTAAATACACCAAATTTACTTTGTATTTCGCTGCAGATAGCAGTTGGTCTTTCTGTTTCTAAAGCACTCATTATTGCGTTTACCCAGAGTTCTCAGACAAGAATCAGAGAAAGAATAGGGGATTTCTTTACCTCCAACTTCCCCACAACTACAGATTATTACTTCTAAAAATCTGTGTACTGCACTGCCAGTGACTCAGAAAGCTGCCTGGGGTTTTTTGTTTGCTTCAGAATTTGAGCCCAAACCAAGCAACCCTTTCTCAAAGAGGTCAAAATTCAAACAAAATTTTCATTTCTAGTAAAGGAACTTGTCCGGGTACGCTGCATGCTGACCTGAGAAGATTGAGGCTACCCTTAAGGATGCTGAAGCATTGTAAACAATGCTTCCTAAAAAGCTGACCCCTTTTTTGGCTGCTGCCCTCAGCACCTAAGTCTCCCCTTCGAGTAAGAACAAAATCAAACCAGCAGATTTGAAGGTAAATTTAAGAGTATGCGCAAACTTATTCCAAAAGGATCCCATCTACCTTCTAGGAGACAAAAAAATATTCAAACCCCAGTTCATTAAAAAATGACATCGAAAAGGCCAGTTCTTGTGATGCCCTTCTCCCACCTGTAAAAAAAAATACCCATTTCCTGTGTTCACATTCACGCTTGCCTTGGGGCTTGATTTTATCTCAGATTCAGAAATCCATGTGCCCCATAAATGATACACAGTTCCTACTCAGCCATCATTTTAAATCCCATTACAAAGCCCTACCACTTGAGCCCAAAATGGTCCAGCAGGAAGGACAAAGCTCTTGCACAAACTCTCTGCATTCTCCTTTACGTCACGCTTCAGTACTTGTGACTATTTATTGTCTGTTATGCCCCACGAATTATGCTATGACAACAGAGTGAAAAGAACAGGAAGAGACATGAACCCCCCCCCCCCCCAAATCTGTAATCATACCTAAGCAATGCAATTATGCTAGAACAAATGCAGAAACTACATCTGGGCTGCTTATTGGAGGATATGCATTTTTATCTCACTTTTGCATAAACATACCTGCTGCATATACAAAGGGAGCCAGTGTAGGAAAATTGTATTTTCTTTGGGAAGAGGACATTCTTTGGGAGGGGGATAGTTTTCAGATTATTTACAAGGTTATTGTTAATTATCTAGGGAGATAATTAGACTTTTAGGAAAAATATATTCTGCTTTGGCAAACACTAATTTTCATTTTATTCTACTTTCATTTTTATGACTGCTGTCAGTCATAAAGGTGTAAGACCAAACACCATTCTAAAATGAGAGAGAACAGTTTTAAATTGCCCTTAACCCCCTCAATCTTTCCTTGCTATGAGGAAGGAGGTTAATAGGATAGGATAAGAGGAAGGCCACAAACTCTCGCATCATAGTGAAGGCTGCCTTCAACAAAAATTTTCTGTACTCAAAGAAAGGTCCTCATTGGACTCCAGAATGACAGGACACTGTAACAGAAGCTGCTTTGTGACCTCAGAAATTCTTTCCTCAGCTCCAGTGAAACTGTTCCAGATGACTGTAAGCCCATGACAAAAACTTGTGCACATCAACTGGGAAATAAGAATTAAATTACCAAACAGCAAGAGGAGGAAAATTCCTATCACTTCTGCCATTTATCTACTTTTGGTATGTAGTACTTGAGGTATCTATCTAGCAAGAAGGTCCCTTGGAAGCTAACCAGTAGGTTGCAATGGGGTTATATAAATAAGTTCTTCACTCATGAAAACCTAGCTTGTAGGGCTACCATACCAGGAATATAATTTTTTTTGGAAGCAAGCATTACTGAACCAGGTTGCAAATATTATGTATATATTTAATCTGATGATTTATTTCTTAGATGCAAAATGCGTAAGCAGCAACAGAACTGACAAATTATCTTCCTTCCTCCCATCTCATGTTGTTAGGCTGAGCCAGATCTCTCCTTCGGTCCCACATTCCTGGTTGCAGAGGTGTTAACCAGGCAGGGAAAACTGCCTGTTACAGAAACAAAATACCTTGTCCAACATCACACCAGCATTCTTTCACTTCTTCCAAATGCCCCTCCCAGCTACTGATCTCTGCTCATTCATATCAACTACCATACATTGTTGAGGTCTAATGATTTCAAGGCACCTTAAATCCTGAACGGGTTCAAAAAGTCACAAGAACAAAACAAAGCAAGTGGTGATAGGAAAATCTACATCTCCCTGAATGTATGACAAATCTTGACACGTGTCTGAACACACTAACCACAAACATAATCAGTCTCTTATCAACTCAAGATAGAAAATACAACAGATAGCAAACAGCATGTCTTTACTATCAGTACTTTGGGACTTGTTTGCCTCAGAAGGGGAAGTGTACTGCACGCACCCACTAATAGCGGCATCAGTAAAAGCACTCTCATATATTTTTAAGTAGAGACAGCTAGTCATAGCATCATAGAATCATGTAAGTTAGAAAAGACTCTTAAGATCATAAAGTCCAACTGTTAATGTAATGCTGCCAAGTCCACCACTAAACCATGCTCCTAAGCCTCACATCTACACGTCTTTTAAGTATCACTAGGGGTGGTGACTCCACCACTTCCCTGGGCAGCCTGTTCCAGTACTTGACAACCCTTTTGGGGAAGAATTATTTCCTAATTTCCAATCTTAATCTCCCCTGGCACAACTTGAAGCCATTGCCTCCTGTACTATTTGGACAAGACGCCCACCTTGTTACAACCTCCTTTCAGGTAGCTGTAGAGAGCAAGTAATTCCAGAGTATTTGCTCAGAAGAAGAGGCTTTATAAGGCTAAAAGTTCATGGACATTGCTAAAATGAAGAACGGTGCTTAGCACGGCATGTGAGACACATGGCTCCCATCTGCCTTCCTAGCTTTACTAAGCTCACTGGAGTAGCATGCCTGGTCTATAGTCAATGTACCAGTAGGCTGTCTTCTCTCTCCTTCCTGCTCCTCAACAGCACACTTGTGTCTTGGCCCCTCCTTGTTCTGCCTGAGACAGAAATTCACTGCATAACCCAAGTCTGTGGACTTCAGTCCTCACAAAGAAGGAAGTTGGTAAGTCTGACAATATAAAGTTCACAGTAAAATCTAAAACAAAAAGCACCTGGTGAGAGAACAAGACAAAGCTGTGGCATTAGCAGAAGTGTATCTTCTACATCTTCTACTGCCAAGAAACTTACTTTGGATCAGTAATTGTTCAGAAAAATGGTGTGAGACAGCAATACTTCGTAAGTATAAATGGATGGAAGGACAGACTCACTGGTGAACAGCAGCAAGTACACATGGCAATCCACCTTCTTATCTCCATATAGAACCATACAATAGTTAGGGTTGGAAAGGAACTTAAGATCATCTAGTTTCAACCCCACACCATTTAGGATTTCAGGGCCACTCCTCTTCCTCTCTCTCCCTTGATTTCCTACTCCAATTATAAAACTATTAGATGGAAGCATATGAAACCTTAAATGCTGTGCTCAGTTATAAGAGATTTTCAAGAAGTTTTATCTAGTGAGGAAGAGATACCAATTTGCATATTTTCAATAACTGAGAATGAGGACACTTGTAGTTAAAATGTATCTTGTGATTCAGTCTGGTTTAGTGCCATACACTCATCTTAATGTCAACTGTTTCCAAAGAACTTCCTCTTCAGTTGGTTCATATGCAGAACTTCATATATAATTTTAAAAACACCCAAGCTTTGACAAAGTATAACATAACTTTTTACACCTTTTTATTTTTTACAGACATGTAGTGAATTTCTAGTGTTTAAGAAAGTAAACAAACTTTGTTTATTCAATGAAGGTGATCTCAGGATATCCCAATTTAGCACTGTACATCAATCAGATTGAAGGGCTACTTCCCCATACAGATGAACCTCCAGAGCATTTTAGGCTCTGAAGGGTTACCACAGAAAGATGTTGCAGTTGATTACATTGTTAAAATGGAGAATTATTGGCTGACAACACAAAATGCATTTAGTTATCATAACCTACAACCTCATCCACCATATTGTATGAAGCACAATGCTAAGCAGAGAAAATGGAGCACACTGGAAATTGGCATAGGGCAGAAAAACTGTGCTTGCAATTTTTCAGTTTCTTAACTTATCCTACTAGTAGTAATCTTGGCTTACTACTGGTCCTTCACATGGAATTTCCTAACCTCTTCCCTCCCCTGTATGAAGCCAAAAACTCCATCCCCTTCCCTCATATCCCTCTGAAGTTGTACACGTTTCAGAAAAAGGAAGCACCTGTAGTTTCTCTTTTGCATTAGGTAAACCTAACACAGAAGCTCTCCAGTATTTTACATGACAAAGATATATGCTCCATTACTGAAATATCTAAAATCACCGTACTTGATTAAAGCTAAAAAAGGGAATCAAACGGGAGAAACAGTAGACAGATCGGTGCAGACAATGATGTTGAAAATTATTTTGCCTAATGGTTAGAACTTGACTGAAAATACTTAATTTGTTTTGAGTAATTTAAGCATATTAATCACATGTATTCAAGACTGCTATTTTTCAGAGAGCAACAAATTGAAAACAAAGAGCTTTTTATACCTACTTTATCTGCTTTATCCTTAGTATGTTCTGAATGCTATAAAACTAGACTCAAAACAAGGGGTTAAAGCTTGTGTCTAGATTCTGTATTTTACCTTGATTAGAGAAACACATTTGTCAAGAGAGAACTTGTGAAAACCACCCACCAAATAAAACCGTTGCATATGTTATTTTCAACTTGTACTTATAACCTGCAATATAACACAACAGATTGTTACGCTTGAGTTTCCTCTGCGGAAACAGTCACTAAGAGTATAAACACCCTTTTGTATTAGTTAGCTTGACAGAAAAATAAGATCATAATAATGATAAACTAATTATATTTCCTTTCAAGTTGACCAGGCTCATAAATCTCCCAGATACCTTGGATTTTTTTTCCTTCAGGGTCCACCAATGCTATCTTCATTGGTCAGGTGCAATCCTTACCAGATCTCACGCATTCTTTGTGTTCAAGCTGCCATTTCAGCACATATCTTCTTAACTTGTACTTCTGACCTAAGGATAGGCTCCTCAGGTCTCTGCTAGAGTTCTGCAGGTGATTGTCATTACACTGTTAACCAAACCTCTTTACATAAAAAGTAATGATTGGACTTATCTGCCCCAACGTACACATCTGTAATTTAAAAGCCTACTTGCGAGCTGGTTATTTAAAGTTGCTTTCAGAGTTAACAGCAAGGAACAGGCACTGTTAAGATGCAATTCATCCTATGGCAGATTATCTCCAAAGGACAGACACAGCTGAATTACTCTGAAAGATTCCCTCTCTAAACAATGGCAACAATGCAACCATGATGGTGTACATGTACAGGCTAGAAATACTTCATAGAAGCTATCTACCTATTACTGAACCAGTTGGCACAGTTGACAAGGTAGACCAAATTCTGGGCACAGAACCTTTCCTCAGATCTGAGGGAGAAACTGAAAACTTAGGAGTGAAATACAAACTGAAAAGTAAAATCCATTTATCTATAGTATCTTGGAAGCCAAAGATAGAAAAGAGAAAGTACCTTATATGACACATTATTACCCTCTATCCTCCTTTCCCACTACTTTCTCCTTCTAGAATTGGAATTATCTGCATCTCCCTTGATCCAAAACAATTAGAACTTCCTTCCACCTTAACGTTTCCTCTGCGCCATATGGATCAACCACTTTCCTCCTCAGATGCTTTAGCTGATGCAGGAGTAAATGTCATCTTAGTTATAATGTGTTTACATGTAGCCACCTAGACAGGAGCAAGGTGTCTAAACATCCACCACAGATGGGGTTAAGTCAATACAGTCAGTAGAATGTAGAGACAACTCATCTCAAAATTAAGTTACCTACAGTCACTCAACTGCATACTGACCATTCAAACTCAGTATATTAGACTTTCTTCTGTGTCACCAAAGCACTACCACAAGACATTTAACTAGATGTAAGTAGACTTACCTGAATCACCATATATAATTACAGGATGACAAAGAATTCAAAGGATATCATACTTTGACATTGACCAAAGATCTGCATATGACTAAATGTGGATGCCTGGAGGATGTCCAGACTAACTGGTGAATGAGGGATGCATGGCAGTACATGTTTGTGGACGTAACTACATTAGTCAAATGGAAATAGATTGTGTGACTTTCATGATGTATCTGCATCTCTAATATGAAGTTTCCTAATTTTATGACATAAGCCCCAGCCGCCCAGTCATTAAACCAAATCTGGACTGTATGTAGCAAGTATTGTATATTCTTGGCAGAACGCAATAAACTAAATTAGCTTCAGAAATTATGGGAGTGACAACATCACAGGTTACTGATTACATTAGATTTGTGAATTCCTTCACAGTCTACTTCTTAAAGTCTCTCTTTCTTTGTAAATGAGCATCATGTATTTAAACAGCACATTTTACACAACATACCAGCAACTGAAATTACCAGGCCCATACTGACATACCAAATAATTGGGAGGTATTCTGGTTTTATGTAGAGAGTAAATAAGTTGCCTTTAAGAGTGTATCCCTATGTTGATTCAAAATTAGAGATAATTTGAAAACAAGAAGCTCAAGGCGGTACAATCCTGAGTTTGTCTACACCCTGCCTGGAATACACAGGGAAGTCTAAAAGCATTAGCAAAGATGAATAAGGAAATCAGCCTCAGCGCCACATCTTGTACCTGGAAAGTCAGATCCCAGATCCCATTTAGTCTAAGAGTGTTCATTACATGTTAAAATATGCATTGTGATTATTTAAATAAATCTAAACTCAGAACATGGTGAAGAGAAAGCGGAAACTGACAACAACCCAAACATCATGCCGGCATCACCCATTTTAATACTGACATAAGCAGAAGTGCAACGAAAGCTAAATTGCAGAACAGAATCATATATAGTCATATGAATGTCGAAGTGATATTTAGAGCTAAAAATACACACAGTGAAATGTCTAACAGGCAGTGAATGAGCTGACTTGGTGTTCATGCATTTACTCAGGCTTTTTGTACAAATACATGTGAATTACATTCCAAAAGATACAGTATGTTAGAAAATGTCAAGAGCAGTAAGAATTACAAAAATACATAGGCTGTTGGCATGATTTAACTTTAATTTGACAATCTATGTATTTCTGTAATTGTACGTATACATATATATACATATATATGGGGAAGAAATGTTTTACTCTAAGGGTGGTGAGACACTGGTATAGGTTGCCCAAAGAGGTGCTGAATACTCCACCCCTGGAAACATTCAGGGTCAGACTGGACTGGGTTGGACTGAGCAACCTGGTGTAGTTAGGGAAGTCCCAGCTCATGGCATGTGAGGGGCTAGATGATCTTTAAAGGTCCTTTCCAACCCAAACTATTCTATGATCTGTATGTTATCAAGTACCTACGCTTGTAGTGTTACAAGGTGCCTTTGTAGTGTTTCATATCCCTCTTCAGATTATTTAATATACTGTGAAACTTTACTCCTTTGTCAAGTTTTCTCAAAGGATGACAAACTATCATTTGTAACAGAGGAGGAAAAGAGACTTCTCATTCACAAAAGTCTGACAGATGTGCTGCGCAAAAAATGGCTGAAATTCATAACATGAACTTCTTTCCACACTGTAGCAGTTATTACAAAACCGTAAAGTGCAGCTTTTGCTGCAGAAAAGGAAATGAGACTGAAAACACATCACTGTGTTTGTAACAAATTTGTCATGAATTAAGTCTCTGATGATGACTTAACTCGTGCTGACTGAAGCAATATGAAAACTTCAAATGATAGAGAAAGCTCTATTTATTCCTATGGACTTATACCTATGTATACTATCAATCTGCTATTAAAAAAATAGGTCATTTATGAAGAAGAATCCTAAGAAAGTTGCATTATACAGCTAAATAAAACTGTACATTAAAAGGGTATTAAGATAGGAATTGCATAATATATTATAAAAAATATTTGAGCCATTCTTTAAAAGTCTGTATAACAAAGTACACATACAGCTCGTGCCACTAGGAAAGAGGGAGTTCAAACGCCTTTCCTTTTCTTTTCTTTCCTCTCTAACGAACACCTGTTCAAAAGGAAGGGCTATTAAAAGAGTCAGAAGATAACAGGAAGGGTACTGTGTTCAGAGGAAGTCACAGATCCGTAGGCAGGCACAGAAGCTTAAGCTGATCTCCATGAGAGAGAAATTTTGGCTTGTTAGCTGCACTGTTTTCACTGGTATTTATGGTATGACCAAACTGCTGAGCAGACTTCACTATTTACTGCTTTGTCACTCCTCTTAGCTATACTGCAAGCTCATAGAGTATTTTGGAACCGTCAATGTAAATGGTAAGACAGCAAACTACTGAGTTATAGCAGCAATACGTGACGCATCCACAGACATTTTCAGTCTGAGCTCACTGCAGATTCAAATTAGTAGGTTCTAAAATAGCAAGGGCACAATTTAAGTCCTTCTTCAGATTGCATCAACTATTCTTTGGAAGCAGTGGCACTTTCAGTGTTTGAAAGCAGACAGTATTTTGGGCTAAGAAATCAGAGCCTGAGCTCCTAATTTCTAAGTTTGTAAAATTTTAAAAGAGGCCGTCATATCTAACAATCTGGAGGATTCAGTACAATCTGTTTTAGCACGAAGTGGCTTCTGTACTAAGAACAGTGCTGGGAAGGAAAAAGACAGACCACACTAACTTTATCTGACTGGTGTGAAGAAAGTGATTTCACACCCTGACTGCTGTTATCACAGTGAGAAATGGCTATACTACAGATCTGCTAGAACAGCAAGACATGAAAAATCCTCACAGCACAGATGTTAAAAGCTGCTTTTGGGACTAAAAGCTTGAGACCTTTTGAAAATAAAAATAAATAAACAATAAGGTAAACATTTCTACCCTTTCCTCAATAGTCTCATTTATATTTGTGGGTCTCAAACTATAGCCATGGCAGCAAAACTAATTTTAGTGGGTCAGATAGCAGTGGCACCCTGCAAATATTAACCAGCTCATTTGTTTGTCTGTCAGTTTAACACCAGACAGACAGTGCTTTACACCTTCAGAAGCTAAAGACAAAAACCTTCTACTTACCATCACAAATAAAAAACATTACTCAGTAATTTCTATTCTTTGTGAGCCTAAAAATACTGCACTGATTGTACACATGGCAGAGTGTTTTAAGCAACTCATGGTTTTTAAAACAGCGAAACTTACCAGTCCACTTAAGGCTAATATCCAGATGTAGGAACCAGAGGTTAAGAGCTAAAAGACAAAAGCAGTGATTTAAAATTTTGATTTTACAAAGAACTACTCTGTTGCATATTATACAGCCTATGTACTTATCATGACAATGGGAGAAGTCAAAGACATTTATCTTGGTGAAAATTCAGTTTAACATTAAAAAAGGATGTATTCCAGAAGCAGCAGAAGTGGAAAAAATCACATGGATCCAACAATTGTTCTCCTTCTCCAGAACAATACATTTTATTTTCATATAGCATACTAAGTATAACAGGATGTCAGTTATAGGCTGCACAGAAAAACAACTCTGAAAGATAGACTGATGCAAAGGAAATGACTCAGCAGCAACAGGAGAAGAGCTCCAAGCAGGGCAGACAGTGCAAGTGAAGCTCTGAGATGTACAGTTACGGAGAAACTAAGCATAAGCATTAAAATTAAAGAAATAAAGGTCTCACCCAGTGACATATTTGTCAACATGAAATCACAGAAATAGGCTGGAGTGAATCCTGATGAGCGAACAGGGCAGCCCATTGTTTCTAGTAAAGTATGTGATTAATCACCTGGAGAAGGTTACTACTAACCTTACTACTAACCACAAAAATGGGCTGAAAATTAGACTGATACTGGTTACTAAAATAGTTCTGCATGATGCAAATTGAATCATGAGAACACCTGCCCTCTAGATTTCTGACGACAGAGTGACTTGAGATAATGGCACAGTTTACAAATGATCTTTCCCTTAGCCTCTGTGTGACGGCAGCAACGGTTGTATATGCAGCAGGGAAACGTGACCTGGGCTGGAGGTGGTGTGTGTATGAAAGCAAATGGCAAAGGAAATGATGGAGAAGAGCTCAGACAGCACCATGGCTTTCCCAAAGACTGGAATAATAGTGGTACTGATGTGTTTGGAAGAGATGAAAAAAGATTTATGAAAGATCAAGAAAATAAGGTGCTGGCAGAGAAGTTGAAGGTATCCAAAGGCTGAACAGCAAGAGTGATGAATGAAATGTACATATGGAGCACAACTCAATATTCTGAAACTGACCATTCATTCTAAAATACTCTCTACCAGACTTCACATAAACATGGTGCTTTCTGTTGCTAGTACTACAGCTATTTGTAAGTCCCTGGAATCTATAAAAATGAGTATACTTTCTCGTAAGTTTGCACATCTCCTGTTTCATAATTCAGTGTCTGACATGAGTGTCCATTCATTTCTAGGCTGCTGGAGGTTTTATTTTGAACAACTACTGCCTTTCTGTATCAATATAATACCTATATTTTCCATTCATATTTAACATAATACTACATGATATTGCTACACTCTATGTTACACTATTATAAATTATCTGTCGCATGGTAATGATTGGTATACAAATAATACTATTTTATATAAAAGTGGAATTCAGTCAAAACCTTTATTATTTACTGACAGTTTTACTGTATTTTATAGCTTTGTCTGTTTCCTCAGACAAGAGGAAAATAAATAAAATTAAGAAATAAAATAAGCAAATTAGAAAGGTGAAAGAGACATAAGCCTTAGCATCAGGTTCTGTTTTCATTTATTTTCATCTAGTTAATTTTGTTGACCCCAAGAAAAATAAACTGTAGGACTGCCTATTATGTTTTCCTGCACAAGACAATGAAGACAGAAGGCAATGGAAGAACTGCTCACCACTTTGGTATGTAGAAATGCAACACATGTTCTTCAATACTTCAGTTGATGGGACAGTCACTAGCTAAGCATATGCAGAATCATACATGTGGAAGCATCGAAATTCAGAGAGTAACATACAGAAATACAAACTACTACATTGGTAAGAACAATATGCAAGTACATACCATACCTGTAAACCCAGTATGTAGACCAGTGTCTTGTTTGTGATGGAAAAGTAGCCTAATACTTGTGTTACCTGCACTCTTGGAATGGAGGAATAAAATGGTACAAACAGTGCAAATACAGGACCCAAGCTGCAAAAAGAAAGACACAGATGGTTAATAAGAATGCTATCAGCAACAGTAGTGTAGAACAATCAAAAGTAATTAATCCTAAGTGCATAATAATTAAAATGTAACACCACCTTGCAAAAGAAAGTTCTTCCTTAAGAACCAATGATTAGATAACTTGCACCATTGAGAACAACAGATTTACGAGCAAATAAGAAGAACAGGTGACAAAAACTATCTGATTTCCAAATATTTACAACTGGAGGCAGCAGAGAAGGCAACAAATTTAGTCTAGTAGCAGACTGTCTCTATAAATTACAGCACACAAAAAGAACATCAGTGGTCTTCTGCATCAGATGAAACATCTTTAATTCAAATGCACAGATGCTAAGGATTATACCTTGCCCAAAAGGTTATGGAAATCGCTTCAAGTATGATATTAGCTCCTATTATTTACCTAGACTTAAGGTGCTAGAGGATTTCCAATAGACTGCAGTCTGTAAGATGAAAATTTCAACAGTTCGATTTAACTTTCCTTTGCCTATGGCCCTACAAATAACTTTCTTGAGGTCTTCACCGTAATCACAGCACAAGATGCATATCAAGTTCTGAAACCATCATTGGAAGCAGTTTCAGAGAATTTATGACTCAAGCACCTTTTAAAATGACCAAATACTTAGGTTGAAGTTGTGAACATAAACTAGGGCATTTCATCCATCTACTCAGATACAAAGCCTATGTTCCTCAGGATAAAACACCCAGAAAATGAACCCATGTATTAAAGCTGACAAGAAAGGCCACAGCAGAACCAATGGCAACGGCATGGACATGAGAGATTCTAGAAAAAAAAGATATTTCCTATGGTAGAGAAGGCAAAGGAAAAAAGGTCACTTTGGGTAGACACAACCTGCTCCACTGGTGGAGCTGCATTGGTGTCGACCTCCAGGCAGCAAGCTGCAGGCAGGGGAGGCTATCAGCAAAGTGCATGTCTCCCCAGCCAAATCCTTGCGTGCAGTTCCATGCTGTCTTGCATCTGACAGGCGTGGGAGGCTGCACTGGGTGATTTTTTACTGCTCGCTAGCTTATCAAAACTTTCAAGAGTTGCAGTTTCCACAGGCCACAGTTTACATCAAAGGGGTGTTATACTCGGTAGGTATTCTTCAAACTGCACGAACCAGACCCTAAATAATTTGATGTGTTCACTTGAAAATACATTTCCCTTCTGGAGGAACTACTGATAGGAGTAATACTATGTGAAACAGTGGTCTGAATATTAAGACTTACATTTCCTGAATAACTGCTAAATGCAACACCCGCAGCTATGAAAAAAACCACCCTTTCAAATATTATTTTTGCTCATTTAATAAGCTATGGCTTAAGAGCATCTTGTTATCATTTTTTACATATTTGAAGTTCAGCTTGCTGAAAAATGTCCTGTCTCAGAACTTAATACAGTGTAATTATAGAAACATTTTTAGTACCATCTGTTTAACAACAGTCAGATGCACTTTAATGTATAGAAAATGCTAACTCGGGAATTAATAAAAATGATCACTTTTGCACGTAATCCTTCTTACATAATCAATGAAATGTCTGTATGTCAAACATTACATATCTGCATAAATACACACAACATTCTTAAAATTAATTCAAATTACTTAAGTTGGGGGAGTCAATTGGCACCGCTGTAAGAGTGCAACAGACAAAATAATTTATCAGAAGTGCTTCCACTGTAGACAATATTCACTAAATCAGGTTTTATAATTGAAGAGAGAAAAAAAAAAAAAAGAAGAAAGGTATTTTCCCTTCTTAGAAAATTTCAAATTATCTCTTTCTATGCTTACCAAACAACCTGGAGGACTACCAAAATTGTGGCATGCCTTTCAGGTTTTATTCCTCCTGTGACAAACAGTGACTCAGACACAAACATTTCACATGCAAGACTGCACTCAATCATAAGATGGGAAAGTACAAAAAGGAATTTCCCATATTTGCAAGTGTATTTTAAAAGGAGATTAGAGAATTTTGAAAGGTTCCTTATATGTTAGTATTCACCATTAACGTCAACAGAGACCACAGAAAGCACCACCCCATTCAGAAGAGTGATCTGTGCAATTCAAAATCCAGTGCCTGACATCACTCAGTACCTGACAGTTCAGAGGAGCTAGAGGAAGCCTAGTGATGGACCTTTCCTCCTAAACCAGTAAGTTTCCAAGCACATCAGATATGCCTCTAAGGTTATCCCTTTTGGGTTTTTAGACAAGGTTCACATTTATTGTAAGTAGGTATTACCCAAATATCTATTCAGGAATCTTTTTAAAAACGTCAAACCTAGTGCCCTTCAAAATGCTTTGTGAAACTCATTGGTACAGGTGACTTCACTGTGTGAAAATTTATTCCAATTAATATTAAACTTTTGCCCCCAACTTTCATTATATAATTCTGTACTTCTACTTTGAAAATTTCAGTTCATTTTTTCTGTTGCCTTCAGAATTTTCTATGCATTACTCATGCCTTGTTTTTAATCTATATGGAGATGCAGGTCTGTCACAGAAGTTATCTATGTAACAATACTAGAATATGACTGACATAGTAAGGGACAACAAAAGGATGGCTAATGAAAATGTGGACCAACTGCCTGGTGGAAAAAGGGACGTAGTGACAGAAGACATGAGAAAAGCCAAAGTACTCGATGCTTTTTCCTACCTCAGTTTTCACTGGTTAGTTTTGCCCTCAGGCCTCCCGGGTCCCTGAGCTTCCTGTGGGACTGGAGCAACATCTACTGCAAAAGAGACAGCTAGAAAGCTCTTGAGCCTATCCGGCCATCGAGAAGTCAACAAGACAGGATGGGATGTACCTCAGGGCACTGAGGATGATGGCCAACATTGCTACTGAAACATTGTGGTGGTCAGGGCAGGTTCCTGATGACTGGAAAAATGCAAATGTCACACCCATCTTCAAGTAAGGCAAGAAGAGGATTCAGGTAGTCACAAGTCTCACCTCTGTCCCTGGGAAAGTTACAGAACAAATCTGGAAGTCACTGCCAGCCACATAATGGACAAGGTGATTGGTAATATCTTGGATGGATTTAGCTAGGATGACTCTGGTGCTGTGGTCAAGGAATGGGAAGGCAGCAAATGTTGTAACTTGTGGACTTTTGGATGGCCTTTGACTCAGCCTCCTCTTGTGCCCTTGGAAGAAAAACCAGGGAGATACGGACTGGATAAGCAGATCTGACGGAAACTGACTGCACTGTGTGACTCAAAGGGTTCTGACCAGCAGTACAAAGTCCAAGCAGCAGCCAGTTACTAGCAGCTCCCTTCAGGGATCTACACTCCAGCCAACACTATTTGTTGTCTTTATTAACAACCTGGATGATGGGACAGAGTGCACTTGCAGCACACTGATGAATGATATCAAATTGGAGGGAGCAGGACCACGTTCCTTGATGAGCTCGAGAAATGGACTGACAAACACCTTACGGAGTTCAACAAGAGCAACTGTGGAGTCTTCCACCTCGTTTGGAACAACCCTGTACAATAGTACAGTCTGGCTAGAAAACAAATTTGCAGACAAGGAGCTGGAAAATCCTTTGAATGTTAATCAGCAGTTCACCCTTGCAGAAAAGCTCAATTTTAAACAGGGATGCATTAACAAAAGCATAGTTATCAGGCCAAAAGAAGTGACTGCTCAGCACTTCTGAGCCTGAACCTCAATCACTGTCCACTTTTGGGCTCCTTGCTTCAACAGAGACATTTAAGAGTGAGTCCAGCTGTGGTAATGATGGCTCAGTACTGTACTAGGTTGCCTGGAGCTGGGACATCCATCCTCAGAGACACACAGCCCCACATGACACAAAGACATACTTTGAACCTAGTGTCAAACTAGATGACCAACAGAGGTCCTGTCAAACCTAAGCCACCCTATTAGTCTGTGAATAATCAAAGCCTTCTTCCTGAAGCTCATCATCACTGGTGGGATTTCTTTTCCTGTGTTTCACTAGACAGGTACAAATATCTGTCCATGTACTGTAAATAAAAGGACTGGTTCTTAGTTATGTTAATTAATTGTTTGGTAACATAGATTCAATGTCTACAAGTGCAAAACACTCTTTTTGAAGGACTATTTCAATTCTCTCTTCCCCTTCATTTTTTTATTCTCCTCTTGTTTTAATTTTTCCTTTCATTCCTTTTACTCTCCTTTCCTCGACTTTCTCTCCTTTTCCAGAGACCTTTGTCCTGGCCCTTTGTTTATTATACTATGAGAATATCAAGAACATCCTTTCAAGTGCCATGATTAACTTCTAGAAAATTGAGATGCCTGTGTGCAAAGAAAGGTAATAAACACAAATACTTGCTGTCTCTAAACTGAGTTCAGGCCCGCTTCATGTTTAGGAAGTTCATTTCAGTCATGCGGGTTAGAAAATAAAATGTTCAAACAAAACATAAAACTCTTAACTCTGAAAGATTAAATTCTAGAGTTTGAATACTCTCTATTGACACCATTTTCATCCCAAAGGTGTCCTGTAATAGCAGGCTCTACAACAGTGTTATTCTAATTTCGAAGAGCATGTTGATTTTCAACATTTGCAATGGAAAAGAAACACAGCAGACCAGATGGGAACATTCTACATCATGTGTCATAATGATACGGGTTTTGATAAGGAATAAAAACCACAAATGTGAAGAAACAATAACCTTGAAAAAATAAACCAGAGATGTAGAAACTACTGGCAGAGAAAGAATCAGGCTGAATACTTCTCGTAAGAGAAACATGCTACTTAAAGTTTAGAAGGGTAAATATTAAATGTAGATTAAAATAAAACATTTTAACATTAGTAAATATATGCACCAAATACACAAAAAATGGTTCTGAAATGTATGAACAAACGGCTAGAAAGCTTAAAGTTACTTCTGCAAAAATACCTGCTACTGTCATTCAAAGTTCTGCGGTACTAAACTTGCAGAAAGAGCCTGTATTTGATTCAGGATGACTCACTACACTTACTAACTGCGGTGCTGTAT